GCATTCCTGTAAACGATTCGCACCATTCTCTTCTGTGTTCATTATTCTGTCCTTTGAGTTTGTAGCCCTGGCTTGCGCCCTGGCACATTTTTTTATTTTTTTATTTTTTTTAATTAACCCATGTGATGGAGGATGAAGTAACTTTTTCCCTTATTTAAGATAATATAGAATAAGGCTACGTACGACATGCGTATCTCCCTGTACTGAAGCTGCTGTGACACCTGCCCGGCGTGTGCCTGATGGGGCTCAGCAGCCGCGCAGGACCGCTTGCCTCGAGGGTCCCTGCCCGTTGGCAGAGCTGTGCTTGTACTTGCACAGGAGTCAGGTCAGGGGCTCGTGGCCCTTCCCCTCCAGGATGACTCAGGGTGGTCTGACGGTTACGTGAGCAGAGAAGAACTTGCTTAGTCGATAAGACAAAATTTGAGAGCTAACTACTTTATAAAAAGGCGTTTAAGTTAGAAGTTCGGTAGTTTTTCTATGCAAAGCAATAATTAAACGAGTGGCTGATAAAGAGAGGGTTGCAGTCCTGAGAAGGATAATGGGGCTCTGATACGGGTGTTTCTAAAGAATGGTTTGGGAGGTGCTAATGTGAATTCCGGGCACCAACAACCTATCGCACGCTTCAATTGTTTTTAGTCCTAAAGTTTTATTACAAGGTCTGTCATTTTGTTGTATTAGGACCTTCATTTGTGAAGGCACAAGCTCAGGAGAGGCTCTAAAACATCATTTAAAAAAAAAAAAACCTTGCAGTTGGTGTGTCATGGAGAAAATCTTGGTAGTTTGGTGCAAGGTGACCAGAAAGGCGACCAGGACCATTGTCTTAAATGACACTCTCCCTGTCTCTGTTTTGGAAGCCTAACTTTTAATATTATCAGCACTGCGTGTGCAGGTTTAAAAAACCAAAACAAAAACCTGAAGCTTAAGTCTCTGTGGGTGTTAGATGTGAGGATATTTGTAAGCGTGGTGATCTGGTGGTGGCGTGGTCTGTGTACCCAACAGAGCGCAAGAGACCGCAGCCTGCAGGATTGCCAGGCTGGAATCCTTTCACTTGGCCGATGATAAAAGTTTCGGGTTATGATTACCTGCGCTGTATATCTGTGTTCAGGCACTCCTATATTGTATTTCTCACTTCAATGAGCATTTAAACCAAATACCCAACTTCCTTTACAGTCAGCATGGAAACGCTGAGCAAGACCTGGGAAACAAGAGCGTTAATGGTTTACAAAGAACAGTGTCATCGGAATCGACAGACTCAGGTACGGCTTTCTCAAATAACAAGTAAGAAATGAAAGGCATTGTGTCTTTACACGGCTTCCGCTGCAAGCAGCTCCCTGGGTTTGGGTAGAGAACTAATGCTGCCTGCCTGCAATCCCTGCAGCCGCTTCTCATCCTTATGCTCTCGAAAGGAGGGAGGGCAGACAAACCATCACTCAGCAAGTTTCTGCAGTTCATGGTTTGGGTTGGGGGTGGTTTTGTTTGATTTAGTTTGGGTTTTTTTTCTTAATTGTCCTGGAATATGTTAGCAGTAGAGCTAGCACGGAGGAAAAACTGGTTCTGCCCCCACAGGGAGACTCTTGACAGAGGTGGCTTTCTCCTTTTTTCTTAGGGTGGCTGTTAAGACGTGGTTGCTGACCTGTCATGCTTTGTATTCCTGCATGATGTTTATCACTGCCATTTTCTGATTTCTTTGATGTTCTGCTCTGTACGTAGCAGTAGGTCAACGCCTTATCGTGAGTGTATCAGCCTTTCTTGCAGTAGAGACTGCTGAAGATGAAGGCTGCTAAAGATAGCCCAAGATAGGCTTCGCTGGTGAATTGGATTCCCACCATTCCCTAGTCCGTGGTGTCTTGCAGATATTGGCTTGTGAGTGTTTATAGTTGCATGTTGGGGCTGCGGTCTGGAAAACGGGAAGATAGTGTTTCGTTCTTCATTGTTAGGGTCCACTGCGTATCTGCATTCGGCTCTGAATGGGACTGATTTGCGTTTCTGCCCTTTGGAGGGTGGTAACTTCGAAGAAAGCGAGTTGTCACCCTGTGGTTTCTCTCTTTAAACCCAAACGGCGCTAACCTGCTCTGCACGCTCGAGTCGAGGCCATTGAGCAGGGTTTGTCTTGTGGCTGGGGGGTTTTTTGTGGCTTTTAGTTAACGTGAGCTGATCGCTTATCTGAAACCTGGGGAGCTGCTTCTTATTACTACTGATACTTGCCTAGAAGTACTTTTTTATTTCAGATGAGATGCCTTATCAGTGAAAATGAAAAAAGCTATTACCCCAGAACTTGTAGAATTAGGGGAGCTCCTGATACTTCATTAGTCCAGCCCAGCGATGGAAATTGGTGTCTCCACCTGAATTTATGCACCAGTCTGATTGTGCGTGGTACTTCCAGCCTTCAAAGGACCCACTAAAACATGAGTATAGCTCACACACCACAGAGCGGGCTAGAATAACCAAGCTTGCTAAATCTTTGCTTTCTTCTTGGCATTTTCCTTCCCCCCCCCTCCCCGTCTCCAGAGCAGGCTTGAAGTGCTTACAAAACACTCATGATTAAGGTTTCTGCTGGGCCGAGACCGCTACCTGTCATGTTAGTCAAATTAATTCTTTGTAGTTTGTTTAGATCACAGTTACTGAAGTAGCGACAAGTCTTGTCATGATGGTGTAGCGAGTATTCCGGTAAGCTGTGGGGCTATCACTAGGGCTTGTGAATACTCCCATAAAACAAAAACTCCTCCGGGAATCTGTTTCAGTAAGCTTCGTGTATGACTGTACTTAAATGCTACATAGCTGTAATGTTTCGCTTGGTTTGTGCTTATGGAGTGCTTGCTGTTGTTTTCAGTACACTAGCATGCATTAAGAAGGGCCTTTTGACTACTTCTTTTAGAATAAGCCCGGAATTTCTTCCTGTGAAGAAGTGTAACTAAAAACATGGCTTAAAACCCCTAAAGGACTAAGTTGTTTATTAAGACGTGTGTGCAAGAGAATAAGCCAAGAGTATTCCATGTTCTGCGGTAGCACTCTGTTCTACATGACAGCCTAGGCAGGGCCAGGGTTGCTTTTTCTTAATTACTCCTATTTTTCCCCAAGCGCTAACGCTTATCTATGGCCATACCCAATGGTATGGAATATCTGCGACTGTTATTTACTTCTACGCTGAGGTGAGGCTGCAAATGAGACTTTCTACATCAGTTTCCTGTCTGAGCTCAGGCTTTTTCTGAGGAAATCTCTAGCAGCGCCCGACACTTCGTGTTTCCTAAATACTACTCGGTAGAAAACTCTGTCTCTCCCCTGCAGGTTGTGCTTTGGATTCGCCCAGTCCTGCAACCCCGAACGATATCATGGAGGAAACGTATGTAACCGTATGCTCAGCCTGCTTTCTGGCATTTCACGTTGCGCCGTTGACAAACGTAGGCTAACGGAAGGCTTGGTGTGGCTTTTCCTTTGCTGGCGCGCGTGCAGTGGGCTCTCCTCTCTTCAGCTTCTAGAAGCGTGGGCTGTGGTGCTCCGCAGCTTGAGACTCTGCGTCCCAGAGGACTTAACAAGTCTTGGGTCTGAGTTACTGTGTTGTACCAACCGGACTGTTTGAGCGTGACATTGCCACCTTACCAGGAGTCCGAGGCTGCACCAAATTGCACGTAACTTGCAGTTTTCACTCAACGCTTAAACTATAATTGATTCTGCCTTAATTGATACCTAGCGGTTGCTCCGAGCTTTGAATTTGCCACTCTCAATTAGATATCTTTTTTTTTTTTCTTCCAATCTTCTATCCCCAAGGATGGGGACAGATGCCTTGGTCCCTGATTTACCGAGCTTTTCTTCCTTCAACCTAGCTTCTTGTCTAAAAACACTGAAAAGAATTTAAGGAAAGGAAGGGGAGGAGGAGTCTAGCTAGTGTTTCAAAAACTAGGATGGAGCAGCTGGCTGTGAACAGCTTTTGAGAAAGACAAAAAGTGTCATCAAGAAGCATGTTGGCTTCCGCTTAGCGTGACACTTCATGACTTGAATACAAGTCCTTCAGTGCTAACTGCGGGATCTCACTTGCCTTTAGGTTTGAGAAAGCGATTCTGGAATCCAGCAGACTGAAGTAAGTATACTTCTATTTTAACTTCTTTGTCAGTGACTGTTGTAGCTTATGGAGTTTTACTGAGGGGGGGGGAAAGTGGGTTCTATCCCCGTTACTGCCTTTTAAAACAAAACGTTGAAATAAATCTTGGTTCTCATTCTAGCATTCGGATGCCTTTCAGAAGAATCCATTCACTGCCAGTAAGTGGTATTGACATTATAGAAATGTTAAAGGATTGAGTGTGTTAAGTGTTTGTAGTTGGATACATTCCATAACTTGTTAATTTTCCCGCTTCGAGAAGAGCTGCTGCGGGACTTAATGAAAGCTGTCAAAATTACAGCTTGTAAACTCAATCTCAGTCGAGTTGGCGTGAAATTTCAGTGCTGTGGCTTTGTCGTTAACGCAGTTGAAGTATTTTGGTACCTGTGCCGAGATGTCGGCGTAAGAGACTCCTGCACGTGGACTGCACCAATTCGTAGGCAGAGACTTTACAGTCTTTGTTAACCCCTGTTTTGCTTATTTACAGTCTTTGTTAACCCCTGTTTTGCTTATTTACAGTCTTTGTTAACCCCTGTTTTGCTTAAAGTGTCGCTGTGGAAAGACTATATTGCACCACAGTGAACTGGCGTTTTTGTATGAATGTTGTAGCAAAGCCTCCTGGGATCCAGTCCTGCTCTGAAGAGAAACCATTCCGATTCTCTGGACAGCGATGCTTTTCAACCGTTGGAACAAGATGGAAATAAGGAGAATGTAAGTGTTGCTTTCTGTTGCCTGCGATGACGTGCTGTAAGAGGCGGCACCGCGGAAGCGGAATTCGCGCATCCCTTCCGCAGTGGAAGTGGTGGAAAAGGCTTCTTTTACTCCCTGCCGGGCTGTAATTCAGACATAACAGTTTTACATAGCGTATCTTAGGGGAACGTGCGGTGAAGTGCGACAGCACTGATTATAGTGACTGCAAACTGATTATAGGTTAATAAAAACTTGAAGGCTTTGATTGTGCAGCTCTCCCTTCGTGCTACCGATCCTGACTCCTGCTAGGTTGTGGCAAGGGCGAATGTCTTCATGCTGCTAGCTTTAGGGGTGCCTCCAGAAAGCTGCTTCGATAGATCGCCTCGTCTCTTTCCGCTGCTGGCGTGGGGAGCTCTGGTTCCTCAGCAGCACAAAAGCCCTTTTGCCTGCTTGGTCTGCAAGGCCTTGCTGCTGGAAATCCCATGGGTAGGGCTCCGACGGCGCTCTACGGA